CATAGCTCAAGCGGTTAGTCGCTGGCTTCCCATCGCAGCGGCCCTGGTTCGATCCAGGGTCTGATCAAGTGGGATTTGTGGTAGACAAAGTGGTGCTGGGGCAGGTTTTCTCTGAGTACTTCAGTTTCCCCTGCCAATCTTCATTCCACCAGTTGCTCCACAATCACCCTCACCTATCTTCTGGGGCTGGTACAATAGTCCAGAAGTGGCCGCAGTACAAGGGACTTAGTCCTATCCTACTAGCAATAAAGAAAATCCTTCAGAAAAGTAAGGATTAGAGTCAGACTTTGAATTTATTCATATTTCAGTGATATTTTATAGGATTGCACTTAATACAAATATAAATATAAGATACATAGTTTGATGGAAGAGTTATTTACAACTGTCCCTGTTTTCTGAGGCTGTTATATTTTACAGAGCAATACAATTGTAGTACTTAAGAATAATTATCAAGTAAATTAAATTCTTTTTCAGGGTAGAAGGAGTGACATAACACTGAATAAAGCACGTATGAGAAAAGTTACTTTATTATCTAACTTACACACATGCACATGCGTAAGCACGTGCATAAAGAGAGTGAGCGCCTGTAACAGATGAAATGAGATTTGGAAACTCTGTGTGCCTTTATTTTTTCTTTTTAAAGGTTATGTCTGTGTTTCACTTATTCATGTTTGCATCCATCTCCCCTCTTTAAGCAGTATGTGCATTGTACTCCATTACCTACTGCAATATTAGTAAATTTGTGGTTTCTACTTTTCTGAAATGCATACCAGAGTAATTTTTCTGTTGTTCATTTTATAATATGTGTATCTTTTGGTCTAAAATTCACCAGATCTTGTACTTACATAATTACTTCGTTTAATTTAGACCCAAACAAAGTATCAGCACGGTCATTGATGGATTTGGTTCGTCAAATCATGGAACGTGCTGTTTCCAGTGTCTACTATGCTCTACCTGCAGCAAAGCTGTGCATAACAATAATTGAGGTAAGCTGCAAGCAGTGTTATTCAACCTGAGCTCCATTTAGCTGCAGTGCATGACTGTGTGCGAGCTGAAATAATGAACCTTTGTCCTTTATGCTAAAAGGAGACAAGCCAAATTTCAGTGGTTACAGGATCAAAGAGAAATAAATGGGAATAATCTGAACAGTATAAGACGTGAAACCGGCAGGCATTTCAGGAGCAGAAAGAGGGAATGTCTGAAATACAAAAGTAGTGGTCTTGCAGCAAACAGTAAGAACAAGAATATTAGAGACCTGTACATAAGAATAAATTTGTGTTCCTTATATACACATCAACACAAGATACACATAACCAAGGGAGTGGCACACCCAATGGGGCACAGAGCGGCCGCAATGCAAAAGATAGGGAGAACAAACAGCCTATAACACCAAAATTAATAATAATAACAGTGACATATTTTAAGAGTACTATTTGACAAAGTGCACAGTTCAGTGGACTCCTTAAAAATGTATTTGCCTGATGATGGCGCTGTGTGGCCGAAACATATAGTGCATAAACACAGAAAGTATATGTATTTTAATGACATTTTAAATATTTTAACAAACATTTTTGTGAATTAAATGTGGATTAGTGTCATCTAAATCTATATTGATATTGTTGCATTATAGATGGATGAAGACTATATGTGATACTTCAAAGCAACAGGATGCTCAAATATAATATTAAAAATATGTTTACATGAAATTTATAGTAAGGTCCATATAGGCAAACACTTGTATGATAATTTTCCTATTCAAAATGGTCTAAAACAAGGAGATGTTTTATTGCCATCACTCTTCAATTTTGCTTTAGTATATGCCACTAGGAAGATCCAGGAAAACCAGATGGGGCTGAAATTAAATGGAACACATCAGTGGCTGGTCTAAGCTGATGATGTGAATCTACTGGAAAACATAGGTACCATAAAGAAAAAACAGAAAATTTAATTGACAGTAGTAAAGAGATTGTTCTAAAAGGAAATGCAGAGAAAACTAAGTATATGTCGATGCCTTGTCACCAGAATACATGGCAAAATCATTACACAGAGACAGGTAACATATCCTTTGAAAATGTGGCACAGTTAAAATATTTGGGAATGACAGTAACAAATCAAAATTTGATCCAAGAGGAAATTAATAGGAGATTGAATTTGGGTAATGCTTGCTACCACTCAGTCTAGAATCTTTTGTCTTCTTGTCTGCTGTCAGACATTGTAAAAATTAGAATATACAGAACTATAATTTTGCCTGTGGTGCTTTGTGGGTGTGAAACGTTGTCTCTGACATTAAAGGAGGAACACAGACTGAGGATGTTTGAGAACAGGATGTTGAGGAGAATATTTGGACCAAAGAGAGATGAAGTGACAGGAGATTGAAGAAAACTGCATGGTGAGGAGCTTCATAACTTTTACTCTTTGTCTAGTACAATTAAAATGATTAAGTCAGGGAGGATGAGATGGGCAGGGCATGTATTATGAGTGGGGTGAAGAGGAATGCATATAATATTTTGGTGGTGAAGTCAAAGGAAAGAGACCACTGGGATGACCAAGACATAGGTGGGTGCATAATATTAAAATGATTCTCAGAGAGATAGGATGGGGTGGTATGGACTGGATTGATCTGGCTCAGGATAGGGACCAGTGGAGGGCTCTTGTGAAGGTGATAATGAATCTTCAGATTCCATAAAATGTTTGGAAGTTCTTGAATAGCTGTGCAATTGGCAGCTTCTCAAGGAAGGCTCATCTCCATGGAGTCAGTAGGTGATTGTCCTTTAAGCTGGTTTACTGAGTCACTTTACTAGATGCTCAGTTTCAATTCTGACGTGTGGGTGAATGTTGAAGCAAATGCTTAATTTATTTATTAGCCTGAGATATGATGCAATGTAATCTGTTAAAAGTTTACTGATATGGAGGAATATACTGCTGTCACCTTGATGGCCGATCACCCAGCCCCTCAGTTTCTTTCAATCACTGCTTCACTTCTTACTTGTATATACATACTGAGGACTCTATACAAAAATTTCCACCTTGAAGATGGCAACTTCAGTGTTTCACAAAATGTGAGAAAGCTTTCAGCATTCCATGCACTGTATTACTGAATGCTGGAGTCATGTGTTGGCTGTCATTGTGTTAATGATATATGTATTTGTTTACAGAAGGAGACAAAAGAAACATTTTTGGAGTCATTACTGAACTTATGCCAACAGTGGTATCAAGAGAGGGATCGTGTTTTGAAAAATGTGTTGAGTTGTGGTGCCTCACCAAATCCCCGGTTCTGTGCCTTCATGCAATTTCTCAATGAGATGTATTGTGAGGTATATTTTACTTCTAATTCACAATATAAGCTATATTTTATTAAGTAAAATTAAGTAAAATATATGTATCCAGTTATATTTTCCCAAAACACTTGACAGAATTTATAATGTGAATGATTAATTTAAGAAGCATATATGAAGGGGAATTACTAAGTTTCAGGTATGCATAACACATATGCACATTGAAATCTCCATAGAGTGAAAATGAGAAAGTACACCCTCCCAAATTTAATTTATAACTGATTTCATATAATCTTTTATTTAATTTTTAGTAAAGACTAGCAAATGAGATGTTTTGTCTAAAAAAGTTAGAATTTGAAAACTAATAAAATGAATGACAAGTAAAAGTCAAATTAATTAATTAATTAAACACCATGCTGTGAAATATGGGGGAGTGTAGGTCTAGATCTATGTATTGTTATCCTTGGCACTAGGTGGTCATTTTGACGCTGTGGCCACTTAACCCCTGAGCATCCAATACCTGTAAATGAATTGCTTCCTATGGATTTTATAAAGTGAATAAGTAGATAGAAAATTTCATGAGTTGATAGTTCAGTTTTGGAGCATTTCTGTATTTATTATTATTATTATTATTATTATTATTATTATTATTGGAGGGGGTGAGTTTCCCCATGCACCGCGACCAGTTTGATCTATTGTATGTCCCCCTGTGATATTCTACCAGTCTCTATACCCTACC